TAACGACACATTGATATTTATGCGATCTCACCCCCCAAAAAACTCTTCCTATGGACACAATCCAAGAAAAGACAGCAAAATATTGCAGAAAATACACCGTACTCCGACACTGTGTGCAAAAATCCCAGTGGGATGCAAGTCAAACAACAACAACAACCAGAAGACAACTTAGATTAAGGCCATCAGTCTAACTCTGTACTACAACATACAAACATGGCTAAACCAATGCACTTTTCGAAATCACCAAAATAAAGCCACGTGTCTCTCCCTTGTGTCCTCAACAGGGACACAGAGTAGCAGACACCAATCTGCTCATCGACTTCCAGAGTGTCTCCGCAAAGACCATCGCAGCCGCCTTTCAGCAGCCTTCAGCAGTTCCGCCAGAACACGGTAACGGCTTCTCCAAAATGCAAAGCAAAGATGGGTTTCAGTAAACTCGACGCATTGTGGTGAGAAGTTCAATCCGTCTTCTTGGTTTTTTCGGTAAAGTCACGTAGAAGGGAAATAGTAAAATAATAAAAATAAAACATTAAATAATTCTCACGACGTTTCGGCCACAACGCAAGCAGCCGTCTTCAGAATCTCTGCCTTCTCGACAGACCTGTTCTCCACCTGAGGACGGCTGCTTGCGTTGTGGCCGAAACGTCATGAGAATTATTTTATTATGTTTTATTTTTATTATTTTATTATTTCCCTTCTACGTGATGACTTTACCGACAGAACCAAGAAGATGAATCCCTGCAGTCACGAAAGCTTTAAATCGAAATGCATGTTTTAGCATTGCATTACTTTTGAACGGTGTATTGGTTTAAATGTCTCGATCAGTGTATCAATTAGTGTCTACAACTAAAATACATTACACATTTGTGATTTAACACAATGGAATAAAAAAGGAACATTCGTTACAGTCAGCGATGCTTGCATACAATTAGAGCAAACTGCAATCAGTGAAAGTCAGTTGATTGGCGATTACTTAAGTTCCGAGTTTGTGAATTGACGAGTGTTATGGCTGCTGCTAAAATCGATACTAAACTTTAAATACTCTTTGGTTCTTTCGGTAAAGTCACGTAGGTGAAAATAAGAATAAAATTAAGTGTGAAATTAAAATAACTAAAATTTAGTTATTAAAATTTTTAAGATGAAAATAACTAAAATTGAGTTAATTTTATTTGTATTTTACATTTTATCATTATTTTTTTTTCTACCCACGTCACTTTACCGAAAGAACCAAAGAGTATGGATCCTTGCAGTCACGAAAACTTCCAATCTAGAATCAAACTTTAAATGTTATCAGGTAAGGCCACTAAGTTCAATCCGCTCTCTGCCGCGTCATTATGCAAGTGCATGTCAACGTGGGAATGATGAAGACCCGCTCGCGTGATTCACTGTAGTTTGAGTAAAGATTTTGGACTGCAGGGATATTTAAAATCGATGGCGGTTGATCCTAATAATCCTCACCCCCATTTTCACCCCACTCAGTGCTAGCAGTGGCTGTTCAGTTAACTTGATATTTCATCTTCTTGGTTCTTTCGGTAAAGTCATCACGTAGAAGGGAAATTAAAATAATAAAATAAAACATAAAATAATTCTCACGACGTTTCGGCCACAACGCAAGCAGCCGTCCTCAGGTGAAAACCAGGTCTGTCGGGGAGACAGCGTCTGAATGAAACAGCACACGAGCTTGGAGCATATATCGTGTGTGCTGTTTCATTCAGACGCTGTCTCCCCGACAGACCTGTTCTCCACCTGAGGACGGCTGCTTGCGTTGTGGCCGAAACGTCGTGAGAATTATTTTATTATTTTTATTTTTATTATTTTATTACTTCCCTTCTACGTGATGACTTTACCGAAAGAACCAAGAAGATGAATCCCTGCAGTCACGAAAGTTTTAAATCGAAATTTAACTTGATATTTATTGTGTCCTTAGCACCATTTACCAACATGCCACTCATCTCACATTTACATTCTATATACTAACCAACACACTTGTATGGATATAATGTAAGCGCTGCTTTGATCATTGCAATTGTTGATTTGTCTCTTCCCAGATGAGTTTACCGGTCTGTCTCCTTGAATGTACTTCAAACCCACCCTGATCACAGGGCCACTGTGTTGTTCCACAATATAGTTTTTGCATTTAATAAACCGGCATTATGAAGCGTTCTGACTTCGTGTTTGGAGCTGTTAATGACGTGAAGGTGGCAAACGTTTTTCATGTCGGCACCGGCCTTTGAAAGACGTGTAGCAATTTGACCACTTGCTGTAAAACCACCCACGTGGATAAGACATCCACAATTAGTTTGAGCACGGGGCGTATTCACTTGTTTGGACTGTCAAATAAATAGTCATGAAAGTCATTGTGGTTGTTGGGACTTTCTATTTGGCCTTGATTTGGAAATAGAAGTTTTGGTCAATTCCTATTTTGGATAATGCTTCACCTGGATTTCAACCAAACAATGAATGCCTTTCGCAGCTCTGCTGAAATAATGTCATCTCAGAATCTACCGAGGATGCTGTTGTGATGCTTCTCCGTATGTGACAGCAATCAAGATGTTCCCGTTTTATAAGCCATACGCTGAACATATGCCTGGGACTTTCATTAGTTTTGATCTATAGTTTAGTATGCTCTTAAGGTGTTTAATAAAGTCTACAAATGTACAGTAACATCAAAGCTTAACATACGTTGTCATTTCATCAGCAATTTTCACATCCTAAACAACAAAAGTCTTATTTGCACGCATTCAG